AGTGGAACCTGTTGCCGGCTTAGCCGCAGAATTTAACAATTCGTTCAAGTTGGCTGTATACGATTGCGTTTTACGCAAGGTAGTCGGTATCACTGTCACAGGTTCCTCTTCTTCATCCGCCGTTGCGGACTTGTTAAGTTCACTCTCGCTTACTTGAGAAAACGACCCCGTTGTGGCCGTTGATTCTGTAGTACTTTCAGACCGTTCTGGCGCGGGCGCGCGTTCCTCTTCCCGATTATCGAGATTAACTTGTCTAACTTTGTCTGGCGTTAGCGGCCTGAAAAACAACTGATCAGGCGGCTCCATTACTGGTGTATCGAGGAGATTATCTCCTTGATCCATTACGGTCGCTTTACGCGGTTTACGGGTTTTATCTTGGAGGACTTTGTGGGTAATTTCCACACCTGCCTCCTTCAACTGATTTGTTTTACTGCGAGTGACTTTGTCCGGCTGTGCCACGCCACTCGTACCAGCCTTTGCTGGATCGTCGGTAATTCCTTTCAGCACTTTGCTAGCCGATTTTAAGACGTCTTCTACGCCCTGTTTCAACCGATCAATAGCTGGTTGTTTCCTTACTGGTGAACGATTTACGGGCATTATGCCGTTAATTACGGTATTATTTTCATCGAGGCCTATGAATGCCAAACGGTAATAGTCGTATTCGAACTCAAGGCTAATTTTAAAGGCTTTCCATTGCTGCTTTGCAGCTTACACTTGGTGCGATTTTTGAAAATTGGCCTAGGCGGCTATGAATGGCCTACTCCACGCAATTCTATTGAGCTGCTCTGCGGCGATGCTTACACAAAAGAACGGCTATCGCTGATAGGGATCAACTAGTTCCTTGACATAACTTTCAGACAGAATCGGGGAAATCCGTTCCGTTGAGCCATCGCTCCGTTACGAACATACTTCCACTGTGGAATAACACGAATAATTGAATAACAATCTCAATGTGGAACGATCGTTCCTTCTTCTACTATAGGATATCGTCTAGATAGACTGTCTGGATATCGGTCACGATAACTCTGACGACGCTGCCGTCCACTACAACAACTAAAACCTTCTTCATTTTCATTAAAGAGTATCTGTATTGATAACGAAACGATCGATCGATCGTCTTCTTCCCCGTTTTCAAAAGCAATCGCTTCACTTATGAAATAGAAATTGGTCTGATAATTTCAGAAAGAAGAGATAGGAAATAATCCTATAAGCTGAGGATTGTTGGCCTACCGCTGGTTTACGCGATCCTCGGTTCTTCTCCTTGCTGGCGGCCGCGTGCCTTCCGAACCAGCGACGCTCCGTGCTTCGGTTCTGTGGGAGGATTCTCCTACTTCTGCTGTTCGTTGCTGGCTATCGCTGGTGGACTGAGGTCTCCACTGAAGGAGAGGAAACTTCCGTGTCACGGCGTGTATGAGAGTACGCCGTTATCGAGTGCAAAAGCTAAAAAACTGAGGGAATGACAGGGATCTTAAGGCATCTCCACCATCTCGGAGAAGCGCTCACGCTGCATAGAGAAAACACAACAAAACCGCAACTCCTCGAAAGATCACTTTATTTCCTTGAAATAAAGACTAGAAAGGTGACAACCAAAACAAATCTAAAGGGAAAAAGGGCATGAAATCAGAGAGCTCAAGAGGAATCGATGTTGTCGATTCCGATGCTGGCACTCGAATGGCAAAACACGCTTTGGCGTGTGTGCAGGATGGCAAAAATGGCAAGCCGAGCCATGATGGTAAGGCGTCCGTGCCAATATCCTGTGCACTATGCACAACACTCTGACACGGTACATAACACAACAGTGAAATTTTATCCTTTAGGCCTGTTAAACGATCAGCGTGATCACTAATATCCTTGCAGAATCCACACTACATCCTGAGTTTTCGATATTTCGTTTTTAATTGCGATTGGCCAACGAATCGTCGGGGATACCGTAATATCGTATATCCTTGCACGCGTTTTTCCAAATTAATTTTATAATAAACAGGTGACTGGTGAGTTATTCCATAATGAATACGGTAGCGGCGGCGGATAAGAAGACAAAGGGCACTTCTCAATTTAAAAGTGAGCTGATCCTGATTCATTGATCGAACCTCTGTGAGGGTGCCCACGGATGCGGTTTGCCTCCTACTCGTACGGTCGTTTAAGTCAAACACTATGATAAGTGAATGGACGATGGTCGTTTAAATGAAACACCTGAAATATCATTTTGCACAAACCGATTTTCCTTTGGATTTTTTTTTCATCCAGTTAAACAGGACGTACCCTTTACAGAGTACTTTAAATTTTTAATATAGCTTGAACCGTTCTTTTGCAATTGCGTCGTAAAGAAATCAGTGACGAAAGCGCTTTAGCCACGCCACATGAGCCACCGCACTACGCTCAGATAATTGCAGTAACCACCATACATGGGCGGCTGCGGGATCACCGTGAGGTCCGTGACAGAAGTTGATTTGGACAAAATCGAATTCAGTTCAAAGACACCAGCTTCGAAGAAATGAAGTAAAAAACTGAAGTAAACTTAAATTTAAGTAACTGAACAGAATTAACAGCCGCACAGGTGGTCTGACTGTAGTTATCTGACCGTGGTGCAGTGGCTCATTTGGCGTGGCTAAAACGCTGTCGTCACTGATTTCTTTACGATGCAATAGCAAAAAAACGGTTCAAGCTATTTAAAAAATTTCAAGTACTCTGTAAAGGGTATATATTGTTTTATTGGACAAAGAAAAAAACTGAAGCAAAATGGATTTATGGAATTTATTATTTCGGGTGTTTCACTTAAACGACCATCGCTCATTCACTTATCATAATGTTTCACTTAAACGACCATACGGGTAGTGTTGAGCACCCATACCGGATCCAGCTTTGCTTTCAATTTGCGACGCGTCCTAAAATGCAAAATAGTGTGCTAATAATTTGCCGCACTCGCAAAACTATGTGCGCGATATGTGTCATTATTTTAGGTATTCGCAAATGATCAGATGTACGGTAAATTATTAATTATACGGAAAGTTATAAAATTATGAAGTTGTTAAACACGATTAAAGTGGGACAACGTTAGCGCCTTGCGGCAGCACAACTGCATCAACAGCGTCGTTATTCCAAACTTTCAACGGCTGCAATGCTACTAATCCTTGGAGTTGGAGCTATCTCGATACTCCTTGTATGGGTAATCTGGTACTGGATAAGCAAGAGCTCGCCTGTCAAAAGAACGCCGGAACGAGAACAAATTACCGTAAGTATTCAAGGCATGGCGGAACTGCAGTCGGTCTTGGCTGTTTAGTGTTTACTTTTAGTTAATATTATTAAATGCTTAAATCGTCAAGTTGTTTTGGCGTTAGAAAAACACGGCTTTCCAATCGTAGACATTTAAAAGCGTCTTTTTCCTCGTCCTACCTACCTACCTGTATAGAACTTTACGCTTCCAAATAGCTCCTGGAGATTATAATAAAAGGAAGTAAAACATTGCGTTGGCCATTGCTCTAAGCGTACTCAGTGTTATTTTGCACTGCAGGCTTTAACAGTGACGAAAACACCAACGAGCGGGCGCTCCAGGAATCTGTCGGGCGAACGGTTATTGAGGCCTCCGAACGGTTATTGAGCTCAAGTCCTCTTAACTGAACCGGTACCCATCGGAGCAGCTGGCATGCACTTGACCTTCGAGGAGCTGCATAAACTTTGTGAAATGCATATAACCAGGCAAACGGACAATTTGTGTCCAATCTGCCTACAAAATTGGAGTATGGTAGAGTCTATGGTCATGCGACCTTGCCGGCACGGTAAATTTCTAATTCATTTTCAGAATTTCAGTTGCAAAACGGAATGATAGGCAGATTATGATAATCATGTACTTGATAAACCTTTTTTTTATTAATTTGTCATTGCGCCAAAGATACAAGCTCTTTGTCATTCCTTGTGTTTTACAGTTGGGCATACACTGTGTTTGACAACGTGGCTGACTACGTATTCACGAAACTGCCCATTGTGCCGAAACCCTGCCGCGCCTGAACCAATGGTAGCATCTACATGACACTTCCAAGATGGATTTGCCTCATATGAAGATTAGTTATAAATTCTCTGACAGTAATGCGAAATCATGTGCAAACAATGTGTTGTAATTCTGTAAAATGCATTAAACGTTCATAATCAGCTGCATATGGAAAACTTATGTTATGACGCATACATAATTATAGAAGAATAAAATTCATGCCGCAGAAATATTCCTGGCCTCAGCACTGGGGCTTCTCATGTACAATTTACTAGCAAAGCGTACTTCAGCGTTACGCCTTGCCAACGATCCATCAGGAGAAAAAGCCACATGCACGCCTATGTTACGAAAATCAGCAATATACAAGATATCATAATAATTTTTTTAGCGGAACTATGGGATGCCCAGCGTCGCATAAAATCATATCGACTGCCCCGGTATCGTAGGGACACCCTTGAACAAACGGCTGCATCCTGACGATGAACACGCGTGGAAGCCACGTCTTTTTCAGGCGACGCGCACGCGTACATGAATTTCCTGGGCCGAATGGTTTTGCATGGCAAAAATCCTGAGTACGGAGTAGGACTGTACATAATAGATCTCTATCCATGGTGTATGAACGCTGTGTACCGACGGCTAAGGACAGCCGTTTTCGTACTCGTAGAGTAACGGATAACATCATGATCATAGGCCCGATCTATGATTATCTTTATAGATTGTACGAACTTGCGCACCAGGAATCAGGTAAGGCAGGCTTGGTCACCGGAAATGGCGTCTGAAATGGGTAAAACTGTAAAAACATGGTAATAATGATGAACATTCTGTTTTTCACCACGTCTGACGTAGGGACCAGAGTTTCCGCCTTATTTTCATGCAGTAATTGTACTGATGCGGTCTCTGGGTGGCCTTACGCGAAACAAAACCACAATGTACGTCACTACACGAACATAAACGTATCTACGAAGCAAATCATGTTATATCATAGTAACTGCATCTGCTCCGGAGAAAAAGTGGACATAAATTGTCCAAGCGCATGGAAGGTTTAACATAGTAACACGATTACTTCTTAGGTCAAAATTCTTTGCGATTAAGACCATCGGTAACGTACCCGTTTAAATTCTACGTCGTATAAAATATTTGCGAAAGCGCTTTTTCTCGCCCTCTATAATGGCGCAGTTATCGGTGTCACTAATTATCTGGACATTTTTGTTATGTTTGAAAATGGATGTGATTTCCTGTGTGATCCAAGTTTACCGAACTGAATCCGGCAATGCATCACAAGAACTGGTGTACACGGTACCAAATGATTACCAGTTGCTTGCTGGACAGCTAGACACGCATCGTCCGGTAAGTCGCAGATTTTACTTACGGGACTTAAATATTATATAGATATGCTTCTTTCAGCTACCACTTTCGAAGCTACTTTCTTTTTAATGCATTGTCTGGATTTCAGGTGTACCTCATAGTTTCCGAATCCAACAACTCCAACAGTTCGGTTGGAGTAGCTGATTTTCAGCATGCAACAAATCAGAGCGTTCCTCAGTTTGTTTTGTTAAGCGATTTCACTGAATGCTCAACAGGTCAGCAGTTTTAACTTGTACAATATTTTTAGGTGAAATTACTGAATTATGTTAGGCTGTGTTTTTATAATGATCGACTATTTGGCCGATCTACTCATAACACTGGTGTTTCGTTCAATCGCAGATGCCGAGTTCGCTGCCAGGATTTTAAACGTGCAGAACAAAGGTTACGACGGTGTTCTCATTTATTGCAACACCTCTATTAACCGCACACGAACGGGAAACAGTAATTGGCAAAGATGTTCCCATTTCCTCGGGCCTGATTCCTTCCCTATAATGGCTGTTATTCGAAATCAGACCAACATCGCTGTGCACCTCGTCACCCCTATGGAAGCTGCCGAACTGAAGCGTTTTGGATTTACGGATGACCTTTCCCAAATCCGGTACAAGTACATTAAAAACTTATTCGATTGAGTACTCACGATTACCCTGGGGGAATAACATTTTTATGTATGGTGCTGTGGTGGAAAATGCATTCGATTTTTATGTTTGGCCTAATGTAGGTACACTCTGAATTTTACGCTCGCCACTCCCAGTTCTCGGGTAAATACTTCCGCATTCATCCAGTTGAAAGACATCATCAACCGGACAAGGTCGAGCATTTCGCAATACCGGAATTTATATCCCGGAATTTCTGCTAGTTCATCCCGTACTTTGGATAGCCAGGATTGGTACAACAGAGATGTTGCATCGAGGTAAAGATTGGTCACAACAGTCGGCATTTCATGATAATTGCAGATACTTCATGATTGCAGTTACTTGATAATTACAGGTCGTCTGAAGTCGTCGTTTCGAGGTGGACGCCGCCGGTAACAACCCCAGCAACTTCGTACCGGGTCTATCGACGCAGCTACAGTGGAAGCTGGGAGTACTCTTTATTAGCGGTGATAGCTGGCATCTTCGGCCTCGTGATTCGGTGCTGCTGCTGCGTTAGAAAACAGCGCAAGATCTTCAGGGTAAAAATCGCATATCAATCAATACGTAAGCTGTCCTCGTATTCTGATCATTCTCACCGTATTATCTGGCGTTCTGAACACCAGCCCGAGCAGCCCCGTAAAACTGTTTAATTGTCAGGCGTCTAATTTCATGACAGTACAAAAACAAACGCCAACGTGCCTTTTCTGTGGAATGATCAGAGTACCACCGTCATTAACTTTATGAAACAAATTGAAGTGGGCTCTTAGCTTGTGAGTTTTAATATTTCGCTAATGTTTTTCGTTACACATTCGCAGAATTCGCGGCGTTCCCAACGCTTAACCGATGAGGAAATCGCCGAGATATTAGCTATTCGAGAAATCATTGTACGGAGACTCATAGCGCGCCTCGTCGCGGAAGCGGAAGCTGAAGAAGCCGCGGAACAAGAACACCGAGCTGCCAACGGCACGCCCTTAACGGAAGCCGAAATGGAACGTTTGGGCCAGGTGGAGGCCACCGAGGCATTGGATGACTTGTGTCCTACATGTCAACAGAATTTTACAGAGGGCGAGTTCAAAGTTGTTCTGCCGTGCAACCACGGTAAGGCTCATATTTAGGTTTATTGGCTGTCCTTATTCTTCCGGATACTGTTCTGGGCACATTTATTGCACTGCGGAACCAGCTAAACATTAAAAATTAGTAAAATATGTCATGAAAATGGTTTTTCACGAAGCTCGTTTCGTCGGTGTTAAAGTAATGAATAATGACGAAATTCACAACGGCATTCAAGTACTGTATGTATTCACTTTTCTTGTTTTTCTAGCTGGTCATAAAGCATGTCTGGCGACTTGGCTAACAACCTATTCAAGAAACTGCCCAGTGTGCCGGCAAGCCGTTGAATATTCTGATGTTGTTAACTCCGCGAATATGCCTGCCACAAATACGGAGTTTACAGTCTATATCGACGTATGAGACTGTATGAGCACATTTTTATTCGGGTTGCAAGTGCTACGCCAATCGTCACTAATCAAGTTATGATTGCGGAGTCTGCTTGTTTGATCTCAGATACGGAGCCTCCATAGAATTTCTTAACGGGCTTGAAAGAGTCAGTGCCAATACTGGATCATGTACACCACGTATTCAGTGGCTTATTACCTATTTGTCATACTTTTTGCGATTATCTTCATCTTTCAACTTGAACGCATCATTCGCTTTTGTGATGTTGTTCGAATTCAATTACTGTTCAACGTTCTTCGAATTTTGCGGTCCATATATTGTGTATACGTTTTACATCTATAAGGGTGTGCTTATACGGAAAAAGTGGTCGTTATCGCTGCACCGCTGCACGGAAGTGCAAAAAAATCGCAGATAAATCGGAATCACTTATAAATAAGAGCTCTAGCGCTGCGTGGGAGTTGATGGGACTAAATTTCACCGCAGACACCCATCCACCACCGTAGAAGCTTGTTCCGTAATTTCTGACGTCTTAAAACAGCGAAAATAAAAATTTACGGGTTACGCCATACTACGGCGCGTCACGCCACACTATTAATACGTTACATCTGTGTTTGATGTGGCTTGAGCTGTAAGCATGAAACAAAAGCAGGATTTTTAAATCATTAAAGTACGAAGTATTTGCGTATAATTGTGTACACACATTATTACAATGTTGTATGTATCTTGTACGCACATGCACGGTGTTGAATTCAAACCACGCTTGTCTTTTATTATTCTTGGGTATTCTTTAGTACTCGTATTTCACGTCGTAACGGAGATGTACGTTCTGTATATTCTGCCTGCTGCATGGGAGTTTAAGTTATACGCGTACAACTTAAAGTCTTAAACTCCCATGCAGCAGGCAGAATATACGGAACGATACAGAATATACAGAATAAAATTATCTTTCTGATAATTTTATTATAACGGTGCTCTTGTTACGAATGTGCTTGTACGTAACTAACGTAAGTACTAGCAGCTTTCCTTTAGTCAACACAATCTGTCAACAGTCAACATAGCTTCCGGTTGCATCGCGGGGCATACCAAAGATAGATACAGTAACCAAAGTTCACGCATAATTAAAAATAATTTTTCCCGTAACAATTCTATCTTCATGACAGTTGTGTGATCAGGCGTCTCTGACTGACAGCAATATATCATCTAATCAATGATATTAGCAATAACACCTGCTCCCGAGATTGTTGGCATTGTTTAGTAATTCTGCCTTTTGCTTAAAATTGTTGTTCGATGTGACTTATCATTCAACACAAAGACGGTTATCACGCGCGCAACTAAACAACAATTAACTTCGCAATGACTTCATGCTAATAAACGCGTTAAGGTTGTTCAATATCATTTAGCAGCGCTTCCGCTCGGTTCATCTTTCTCACTTTCTGTATAAAATCTGCGAAAGTGTCTTTATAGTTTTCATACCCATTTAGTTTCCTTTTCTGGCAGTTCTTCTAGATCTGCCACTACGATTAGACCATCTAAAATCCGTAGCTTGCCGGATTATCGTGGCAGTTTGTTGCCTCTCGGACATGTTAAATATGGATTATGCTGAAATTTCGTTGGGTGCATTTTTTGTATCCATTCGTGACCTTTTGCTGTTTCTTGGAGCCTTTTTCAAGGTTTGAAATCGATATCGCAATGTGTTCGGACAATGAAGCGACGTGTGACTGGCTTGAGTGGACCAAATTAAACGTCTTGCGGGTATCATTCACTGCAAGACGGTTAGATTGGCCCATTTAGCAAGTTTAGCACGTTTTATCGTTTTCCTGAGGTATGGTATTATTTTTAATTAAATGATACTTAAATCGACCAAATTTCCGTCTTATATGCATTCAGAAACCATCTAGCAAAACCTGTCGATAGTTGTGGCTTATGGAACAGAAAGGCAACAATTACTACGAATTTTTTAAAGAACTGTTTGTCAGCGACATAAGCCAGAATCGATTGAACTTTTTCCATAACGTAGGAAAAGCGTAATTTGATCAGTGTATCGTCGCTAAACGTCGAAGATAACATGGTTCGCCCACAACATCATGCGACAGAGTGTTGTGTATTATCTCCCTTTGAACTTGAGAGTATTTTAATTTAACAGTAAAATCATGCACATGTGCCCTTGTGGGAAGTGCCAATTAAGTGTGCATCACGCTGACTGATGGTGAGCGTAACCAGTCGCCGTCGCTGTTAACTCCATGTACGCAGCGGAAGCTTTAAATGCCGCTCTAACGCCATAATGTACGATAGTGAGCGCACTCAGCCTCGCAGTAACACAGCACAGTAAAGGCAATCACTGCTAACCGATTATCTGTATATGCCAATAAATATATCGTCACTGCACAAATGAGTTCTTAAAAGATAAAAACGGTCCGCCACCAATTGAACCTATAGGCACTCGTGACACGAACCACTCGTTTAAACACCGTTCCTCACATACAAGAAATTTTGTACCAGAAGTACAAATGCAACCATTATCATTCCTATGAATATTAATACGGCTATCCTTGATAAGCAGAATCTCATCCAGCCCGCCCGCAATCGCTCACGGCTGTAAAGTTTTACTGCGAGCGGAGCATCTATATGAAATGACATCAGACAGCCTTCTCTCTGCATTACCAGTCAGGTCACCTGAATTTGCATTTCCCCACAGCGGCCGTGTAGTCCTGTTTACAGTGTAAACAAAAACGATAACTACCAGATGTGAGCGGTATAATGATAGACGTTGAGCGGAGTTGAAGTACTGTTGCATGTGGGCGCATGTGAATCATGGGTCCGAAGATGCGCCGGCTGGATGATCTGCACGGGCGCCTTGCTGGTGCCGACGAACCGTGTCAAAAGTTGCCGCTGTATTTAGCTGCAGGGTGCGGCGACGATAAAATACGCACATCAGCGTTCTCTGTAGTCGATTAATTAACTTCCAACGGTCAAACTATAGAATTCCATTACTGGTTGTTACGATTCATGCCTATAAGTTTCACATCGTTTACGTAATGAGTGCAATCCTTTGTGCTTCCCATTGAGAGTTCTCTGGATGTTTCATTAAACGGATTACAATTAAACGTTTCATTCATTGCTGTTATATATTACGTGTTTCGAATGAGAAGACTTTCCCAGAATATAGTTTATTCAGTTTTACTGTATCTGATAAAGTGTCCATGAATCGGTGCGACTTATTTTCGGGCGTAAATTATCCCTGATATTTTTAACTACAAGATATCAGAGGCAATCATGGCCTCATTATTTCGGAATGGTTTTCGTCGTTACAGTGTCGAGTTTTGCCTGTTCTATCTCAGCCTTCTGGCACACCCAGGCACCGGTATAATTCAGGTTTATGAAAAACGTTTTGGCGAAGTATCCTCCAGCCCAATCTGCTCTATTTATGACGATCATCAGGCCGTTGTCGGAGCAAAACTTCCGGTGGATCGTTCGGTAAATTCTTAGGAATTTGCAGAATGTCACGGTACCTGTTGTTGAAAATAAAGTGTCCTTACAGGTGTTTGTAGTACTGGAAATAGCCATTCCTTCCACTGCTTGCGATCTCTTCAGTTCGTACCTACGCAGGGGAGCACAACGGAAAAAAACGATATTGTTAATGGATGACACGGAGTGCCCAGCTGGAAACGGTAATCCCACTACATTCAGTGATATAATAATTATATCATTGTGTGCTGCAGTAATACTATAACTATCAACATAATACTATAAAATAATACTATAACATAAACCCATAATACTTAGCCTGTATGGTAAAAAAGTGTCGGTAAAGGCGTGTTTGTACCTATTGTAACATAGTATGTACGAATTACTTTTACTGTATCACATATGCCAAGTACTTAAATGGATGGGCAAAAGTGCTTGTTAAAATACCTTCCTTTCTGTCCCATTTTTTTATATGGAACGTTTCGTACCAAAGAAAAAAACCGGAGCGTTTTTTTCTCCTCATAGACACTGTAGTCATCTGTAGATATAACCTGTAGACACCCTGAGAACCTTGTATACATCCAAAAAAGCCTAAGAAACCAGGTTACTACTGTACGTCTGCAGTGGTGTCTCCGGGCTGCCGACAGATGACTACCGGTGTATACAGGCAGAGCATCCAGCTGAACCTAAGGGCTGCCTGTACAGCGGAAGACATCCAGAGACAACCTGTAGACGCCCTGTAGACTTCCTGTATACATCCTAAGAAAACCTAAGAAACCTAAGAATCCAGGTGACTACCGATAGGACTACAGATACGTGGTATCTACAGCCTGTATACAGATGTCTACTGTGACGAAAAGAAGAGAAAAAACGATCCACTTTTTTTCTTTGGTACGAAACGTGTCACAGGTGATTTGTTACTCATTGCAGACAAAAACAACCAGTCCTTAAAATAAGAGGACAATACAATACTGTAGTAACAAGGTTTTCTCTTCATATTTGTACTGCAGAACTGAGGGTTTCTTCCGGCTGCATTATTCGCATAACATTTCTGTTATGTATTCGCAGTTTGGGGAAACAACGGCTACGGGACCAGAAATAACGGCAGTTTCTACGCCAAAATCATCAAGGCACAAGATCTGGGTTACGTTGGGGCCATTGTGTACCCCGGTATGTCCGCCATGCGCCAGTGGGCTTCGTTCAATCGTTCTGATCCCGACAAGCCGATTACGTGGCTCTCCCGGAGTACGGCCCGCCCAATTCCACTGCCAGATAAAATGGCTAAAGTAATAAGGATTCCCGTGCATTTTGTCAGTTATCAACAGACAGTGCTGCTGGAGCAGTATAAAGATCGCTCTTTCGCAACGTTAGCCGGGTACGTACGGTCAAAATATCTGTTCGACAAGATGTCGATTCATTATACAGTAGAAGTAACATTTTTGTGTTCTGTATCAATAAACAAATCGAGACTAAGAATGTTTTAGTTACGAGTCGTAACTTACGAGTCATTCTGGTTGATGTCTACTAGCGCCGTCTTTTTGGCAGTTGCCAAACAAATCAAGCACCTTATTTTAACTACATAGTATACTAAAATGTATTTCATCTTTAGCTGTACTTACGTTAAAGCAAAAAATTTATCGTGTCATTAAAAACGCGAAACTGCGTTTCTCAAGCACTTGGCAATAAAAAAAATGTCGAACAAGCCAGACCATAAAATCAAAGTGATCAGAATGCGAGAAACGTCGAATTTCAGCCGGATTAATGAACATAATATTACAGGAAGAGGGTGTGAAGCTCATCAGTGGCATTTTGCAGATTTCATTTTAATTTAACATCACCGGCCCGCGCCACGGATAAAGAGTTCTTCAGTGGAAGCCAGACCTATGAAGCAGCCACAAACAGAAAATCCAGTTACGTCTATCCGGATCGGACTGACATTTTTGGACTACAGAGGAGACCAGCAGCTACACAGACGACTCGCACAACACCTGCTTATCAATATTACCTCCACTTGTTGACTCCGAGGTAACCAGTGTTCTGTGTGATAAGGCCACCTATTTCCACCAGTAAAACTCTACCTTTACAAAAAACTTGTGACCGTTTTATACCGCCAACCTTAATTTGAAAGAAAGGTAACCGGTAATGTACCAACGATTTTTCTAGTTTTTCATATTATTTAGCAGTAGAGAACTTGTTTGGTATCATTACAGTCCGTATATCGCGTGGTCCGATTACGCTCGCATTTATTCGACACCTGCACCGATACAGCTGTATCCAACTGTGAGCTCCAGATACAGATCACGTAGCACGAGTTCTGATTTAGCGTACCTTGCGCTAGCCATTCCTATTGGGGTTCTCTTCGCTCTGATGCGCTATGCCTGTGATAAGCGACGAAAACAGCAGGCTGTTTCACGATTCGCAAGAACCATCCAAGTAAGCCCAATAATACTTGCAGTACACGCTAAATTGTTCTAACATATAGAGCAAGTAAGTAAGGCAACTATTCCAAGAAGTTGATTTTACGATGATTTTTCTGTTGCTCCTCATGATTACGGTAGTAATGTGTGAAAAAGAATCGAATTTGAGCTGCGTTGGAAACGTGCGGAAATACAGATACAGTAAATGGCTTAGCACTAGCGGGTACCGAAAAATGATAGCCGTAGTAATTCTCTTTGGTTTCTCTGGTAAAGATACATCAGCGTCTAACCGATGAAGAGGTCGCGCAAGTTATGGCGGCTCGCGAGGAAATCGTCCGCCGCCTGATCTTCACGCTCATTGCACAGGCGCAGGAAGCCGAAGAGCGACAACGCCTGACGGCCAGCAGTACACCGCTCAGCGCTGGGCAAATGGAACAGCTCCCGCGCACCGAAATCACCGGGCCCTCGGACGATATCTGCCCCACGTGCCAACAGAATTTCACGGAGGGCGAGCTGAAGATTGTCCTGCCTTGCACACATGGTAAAGTCACTGTATTGCCGTATGCCGGTGTAGAAATCATAGCTATTATTTTTGTAATTATGGAAAACGTATACGGTAGTTGTAAAACGAAGAAAGAAGATGTGAAATGTTCTTATGTTTTTATGTGGAATTAAACGATTTTAATGGTATAATCCGCTCCAAATAAAAAGTGGCTGTGCCAAAATGTAATTGATTCCTAAAATTATGTACGTTTCATGATATTGGTACCGAAAACAGTGCGCAGGCAGTGTAGTTTTAAAAAAACTGTGTAACACAGTTTTTTTTATAGTTGGACATGAAGCTTGCCTGACAACATGGCTGACGACGTATTCCTGCAACTGTCCGGTGTGCCGACAGCCTGTCTTTGAGGATCATGGTACTGCTGAATCGGCAACAATTCCCACTCTAGTACTGGCTGTGGATACCAGATCGTAAACCGTTTTGGGAATTGCGTTATCCTTTTGTGCGATCTCGAATCTTATAATATTGCACAACACGATTAGTGAATTTCCTGTGTTACATGTGATGCCGCTCATTGTTACGCTATTATAGGTATGTAGAGCACACATAATGTTGTTGGCTGGACTGATAATAACGGTTTTTTAATCGTGCTGCATTGGCCATCCGGAGTCAGCATGATGTACCACCGCCTCCCATTTCTCCCCAGGCCGAACAGCAAAATAACACGCTGATTTCGCCCGTTACCGGCAATAATTCCATTCCGGCCAGCGGCGTATCGTTGCCCGGCCAACAAGGCGGTGGCGCACAGAACCAAACCACCGGAAGTGGTCAGCAAGGTCAACAGGGAGGTGGGCAACCTGGCCAACAGGGAGGTGGGCAACCTGGCCAACAGGGAGGTAGCCAGATGAGCACGGGTCAACCACTAAGTTACGGAGCATCGTATAGCTCACCCAGCGGAAAACAGAAGAACATACACCAATAATAACTGGGAACGACCCACCAACAAGCCTGTGAGCAGGCTCAGCCGATGTCCTTCTGAATATAATTTAGTCTGGACTCTGGAACTGGTTGAAGAGAATAAAAATGTTGTGAACGTTCTTTGATGTATATAATAAGCCGGTTTTCAAGTACCAAGTTTGTTTTGTTATTGACAGTTTATTTAGCATTTGTACACGCTTGTATAAAGGGAAAATCAAATACTAGTACCATGGAAATGCATAATCCCACCAGAGACACTTTGAAACATTTGGCTAAACATGGTGCTTATGTACCGCGCTGATTTAACCATATGTACTGCCGTAACGTCACACTCCAGGCGGATGACGGCAGGAGTGCCGTGAATTGGTTCGACCGACATTGTTCTGCCCCCTATATAACTACTGTACTGTATATAGTCATGATCAGATACGTTACGGTCGATACGCTGTACATAATTTTGCACTGCCGTTTTGTTAGTAATCGCATGAATAAAAAGGAAAGTAATTTTACACTTCCGGTACCCCGGTTAAGGGGGCACAAAATTTATAACAGTTATTGCTTTTATGTAAATCGCCGCTGGATAAAAAACTGCAGCAGTTTCTCATATAGCACATAATGCAGTTGTTTGGTCAAAACAGCAGTACATACGTATGTGGTAGTTGTATGTGCGGATTAGCGTCGTTTGCGAAGTTTCCTTATTATTCCTTCACTGCGTTTTTATGAACGGATGTATGAGCAGCGATCCGATGTTACAAGATGTCTGTCAGTCTTTAGCTACTTTTTTATTGCATTTAGAGGTCGGTACAACCTTTTCTTGTAATTTATATTTACATCAACCCAGCGACAAGTACAAATTCAGGGGTTTATACGCTAAACTCCATAAAACGCCGCGTTGCGCCGTACTGGTACTAATGGCGCTCTAGTCTGTAGGTACATGCATTGGGCATGGCTGATACATGCCAAAATTTAATATAAATTATAAACTATTGATGTAAAATGTTAACTTTTCTCCCTTATAATTACCCTAAATATAAAGAAGAGTTGACTTATTTTATTGTGGTAGACTTAATGCAGTGGCAATCATTCATAGAAGTACCGCAACTTTCGCGCTAAATACGTGTGCTATCTGTATGTATCAATATCAGTCTTATGATAAAAATTTACAAAGTGGCTATTCGCCCAGACACTGCACAGTGTAAAGTGTACACTCAGTAGTGTAGTGATTGTATTTGTGCAGCTGATGAAAGATACCGTGTATGCCGGAAAAAAATACTACGAAGACTATGTAAGGGCGACTTAGTACACCAAGTTTAAGCAGCTGGCACGATTAAATAAAGTTAATACACACATAATATTAATCTTGGAGGTGTGGTAGATGCTCGTAGAATTATGCGTGATCTGTGCTCTGTGGATTATGGCCACTTACTAGCGCTTGCAAGTTTGTTCGGCCGAAAGGGCAGCAAGTGCAACACAGTTGAACACACCCGTATCGGCTAGACATAACAATAATACAGTGCACCTAACTTGACAATCCATATTCATGACCAGTAACTGTTGTGGGATCCTTCCAACCGCAGAACCAGAACCTTTCTAATGTCTTCCGTTCTGGTTCACTGCAGCCAAAGCTAACGTTTTGCTATGATCTGTAATGGTTAAATAGCTTTCCAGATATGTTACGTACGATGTAAAGAGCCGAAAGGCTGTAAGTGCGATAGCCGCAAAGCTTCGTTTGATTTTAATTGGCGGTTGCGTCCAACGTTCGTTCCTGAAAGTTACAATTGTTCCTGAAAATACCGACAGCAACTTTTTGTGTTATTCACCATTATGTATTGATGGAATACTAGCGTCGATGCCCGTTCCACTATAAGTAGTTCGTGAAAGGTAAGAAATAAGAATACATAAGTAATATTATCTCAAACCTTGATTTCGTGTAACCGATAATATCCCATACAGTAAGTATATGTATACGGAATATCTCACGAATTGGAATTCCATTTAGATTTCTGAAAACTGCATGGTCACAGTTTGCAACCAGTTTGTTGCTGTGAATAATCAGAATACCTAAGTGTTTGACGCTACATACTCCCATTTAGAACTTCATGAAACGTAAGAAAAGAAGTATATTTTGTATCATTTCGATTTCGCGTACTGTTTTATTGCGGTTTGTGCGTATTTTGTTGTAATACAGCGAAGTATATAGCGAAGTAAAAGTTACAATTAACAATTTTCGCAAACTTTACTGTTTACCGGTTGGAAATATAGTGCTGCCTTTGAAATATTGATAGTAGTTTGTTTTATGCATGCAGCCCGTTTTCTGTACAAATGAGTACCAAATCTCGGGAAAGCTGCAACAGTGCTGCATTACTCCGTAGTTTGGAAGAATGATAATCAATCGCGCAAAGTGCAAAACCATCGCCTTGACTGTGTAGATATTGATTGAACAGTTGCAATTTTATTACTACGGTATTTATCCATTCCGACCTTGACCTAGGGTTTACGCAGGACGAGGTTGACTTGCCCATCTGTGCTCCGCAGTCACCGCATTCGTCTCAAATCGCACGTGTCGTATTGAAATTAAAGTGTAGAAGTAGCTCACGGTAAGCCACGTTGTATTTACAAATCTACCGAAAGCGATTTTGTTTTAATGACAATCAACGAGTTAATTGATGTTAATGGTAGCTGGAGGACATGCGCTCCCGCTCTTTCTCCTTTCCCCACGTGTAGCGAGTTACGTGAGTCTGTTGGTGGCGCTGCGCGTCGCCATGGCGCTTACATCAAAGCGGCCGCCGTCTTGCACGGGCATGCTGTTTGCGCTTGGCACTGTTCGTGCGCTCGCACTGGTTCTGCATTTCTACATTGCTGTTTGTCTCTGAGTCTGCTCCTTCGAGTTTGTGTGCGCGCGAGTGATCTCTGTTCTTTTACCACCCGCCACACCCTACTGTTGTACTTCTGCTGTTATTTCGCACTTGCTCAATAAAGGGGCCTTCGGTTGCGCAGGGCACTGGTCGCTCTCTTCCGCCGACCCCGGTCGGCCGGCTTTTCGCTGACCCACGGTCACCGCACACAGCCGATCACCGAGAGCACCAGCCTCCCAGCAGCCGGGGCTCCAGTGCCCCCAATGGAGCCCGGAAGCGGTAACATTAATGTAAATTCTAAATCAACATTCAAAACAAAACAGGAAAGTGAAAAGAAAACTATGCTTCAACCTTCAAGTACTCGAAGGAACCTAATAATTAATTATAATGCTGCACATTGTACAAATGGCACATTGCGGGCCGCCATTACGAACGTTGCGGTTAGCGGTTTTCATATTTCTACTGAAAGGAAGTGAGTTGTTTGTTTAGGCGCTAACTATGCTGCGATTAATAAAATCACTGCTGCTCCGTTGTTAAAGGACAAGTTGAAAAAATTCATACACCTACGTCCGACATAGTAGTACATACACCCCGTTATGCATACAAGATTATACGGGCAACATTTATCCAAAAGATGAAACTAACATCCTACAGAATACAACAAAAGTGAGCCACCCAAGCAACCGGGTATTTTCGAATCGGCATGGCCTTGGACACGCGCCAAGCTGCGCGCTGTAAAACAATGGGATCCAGGGGTGCCTGAATTTGCAAGAATTCGAACCACGCAACAACATCAGTCATCACAGGAGTATAATTTTATTGTGCGTTCATATGATGCAGTACATATGATGTACTGCATCATATGAACGCACAATTCATATGATCATAATTATGATGCAGTACAGTGCAGTTCATGCACACTGGCTTGTATGTACTACAGTACTACTGTAGTACCACAAGAAAAAAGTTTTCTGAAATCGGAATGCGCAGTATTTCGAGCGGTAAAATTGTAAACAAAAGATTGCCATACTGGTTTGCGGCATTGTTGTGCCGATTCTGCATTCCTCTTTCGGTCCGATACAGATACTGCTGTCGGAGTTAGCAGTTGGATTTCGAAGCATTTTTCGGCTTCTGTAAATCCTGGAGGTCGGTTTTTAGTATATCGTATAACTACAACCTTCTTACCACTTACGGGATCGGTTACAAATTTGTGCCAGTCTAAGCGATATTTAAGCCGCCGTTCGTACTGATTGGGACTTTTCTGTGTACAAAATGAATTACCTAGGTTACTGCGTTTTCCTTTGTTGCCTTGAACTGGTGTTCGGCGAGCCAGCTGCTGACAGCCAACATGTTTGTGAGTACCAGGAAAAGTAAGTGAATCTTCTAAGGCTATCAGATCGATCCCACTTATGAAATTTACTTTACCGCATTTATGCAGCGCCAAATATAAAATGTTTTTGTTGCATATCGTAAAGATAAATTTTGCCGGTGTCGTAGCTGGCACTAAATAACTCTGCAGTACACAAATTAATGAGTGCACGGTGGGAGCACCGCATCTTTGCTGCTTTAATTTGGTTAATCGTTTGCAGAAATGTATGCAACTACTTGCTGTTACCGCTTTAATATTTTTTGTATAACATATTATTGTGTTGCTTAATTTTGTTTTTAAAGAGATCGGCGTGTTTACTGCGTTGTAGTAGTAATCCTTAAACTCGATAAAAATAACAATCCTTCAGTAACAATTTTAGTATGAAAATGCTTAATTAGTATCACATCTTCTACGTGTACTTTCTAGAGTTTTTTATTTGTAACTGCTGCGTACGAAAACGTCCACCATCGACAATTACAAAAAAAATGAAGAAACGAAATTTTTGTTGCGCCTTGTGCTTATGGTATTTCAGCAGGCCATCCGACCGAGGTTCGAAACTATGTAGCAAACAAATCGTTACTGTCATGATGTCGTCATATACCGTGACATTTGATATTCTTAACTGGACCTGGCGCGCTAGCTGGATAATATTGAAGCTTCTGAATGAAATTTGCTACATTATTAACAATATTGCTGTACAGAGTGTAGACTGTACTCAGCATTCGTAATTAATGAATATTGGCTGACTTATATGGAATGCATCTGGGTGTGTTGCTTTATTGTGCAACTGTGTGTTGGATTCGGAAGCTGGCTCATATGCACTGTTACGCAGTAAACTACAGTAACTGTACGTATAACAGTATCGCAAGCGGTAATTTTAGTAACATTCTTTTACCACGTGCTGCCGCAAATCAACCTTGAAGTTTCGAACAGTGGATGTATGCCACACATTTTTCGCACCCCAAGTGACGTGTGGTGAAGATCAAAGTTCATCGAACTTTGTCGGCAGTCTGGACTTTAACAGTTGCTAAAGCGCTGTTCGAAGATCTGCTTTCGCCGGTTCTCCTAAATCATACGAGTATACCTGCAAAGACATCATACACGCACATGTATTAGCGATAGCCTTTCCCAAGAGTTGGTCAGGACCAGTTGCGCGATTACAGCAGCTTACTATGTAGCTAGCAAAATTAAACGTGGAGACAAATACAGTTTACGTTTCTTTTTTAATGTATTGTGTGAGGTAATGCGTGCAAAAAAATTCGCGTCGCACTGATATACGAGTCCATATAAATAATGCACAGGTTTGCGTCAGGTTGACCATTTGCTTTCGTTTAAATGAACACACTATTTACTGCTGAATTAATTTTTTAATATTAGCACTCAGCCTGAGTGCTAATATTAAAAAATTCCCTTTAGTAGTGCAAAATTACCAGATTATTTACACGAGACATAAAACTTTTATCGCACCCAAACTACCATCGCATACCGACATTCGGAATAAGTAGGTGTTTTATACTTTTGCAAAAATGACTTTTTTACTATTTGCCGCATCCGCGTAGTTGTCTACCACTTTTCGTGTCAGTTCAGGTTTTTTTACGATTAGCCAAAGTGCAGCAATTGTTAGCTTGTTAATGTGTACGTTATTGTGAATAGGCGTCTGTAATAACGGTAACACAATTTTCGTAGCGTTATCTGTGCTTTCCGCAGAATTGAAGTGAATGAAGTTGGATCTAGAGTATACGCCTCCGAACCAAAGAACGTTACACAATGCGAAGGTTTCCGTTGCATTAATTACACAAAGGAGTTTTCTGCTCACTTTTCGAGAAGGATAAGGACCAAAACAACAATCAGAATGAAAAAGTCATGCTGCAGTGGATTTGTCGAAGATCGTGCCGGTTATTGTGCGCGTAAGTCTTTAGTTATCTTTACCTTCATCCAAATCTGTAACTATAGTTTAATTTTGCTTAATACGATATTTTTCAAACACCATGCTATGTATTGGCTGTATTGTAACAGCATGTACATGATTTACTCGTACGCGTCGAGAAGGTCGCGATCGCTGTCAATCTAGATCTTCGACATCCGAAAAGTGAGGTGCACACGGCGCATTGCCGGTGCCGTGAGTTAATCATTCGTACAGGAGTACCAACACTGCGACAAAAACAATAGCTTAGTATAAACTAAGTTCACTTGGCTTTTATTTAAGTTGTGCTCTATAATGATTACACTCATTACAGCCCGCTGTCTTGAAGTGTGCGACGATGGATACCTTCTCTGTGTAGGATTCAATGGGTGTGAATGCTCTCCGGGATTTATTCCGTCCGTGACAACTTGTGATACGTACCGTAAGTACAAATTATGTTATGGGAAATGTCTACACGTAACGCGTCCCACTACCACAACATCCATTATTCCACTAATCTGTTATTGTGATACGAGTATATCGTTGAAGTATGTATAAATAGTATGAATGCGCATCACTTGCTGTTCGATTCGGCGTGCCCATCACACCAAAGTTATATACTTTTTTTAAGACAGGGGCGAATCTTTTTAACTTTTACTATATAAACTGCATTACTCTCTCTTCCAACCTTGACTATGCTTGTACTGCAAACTGCAGGCAGTAGCAATGAAAATCACATCTGTACTGAGGGAGGTGGCACGGCACATCCTACCACATCTTACCAAATTCGCGTACATGTAGGAAAACTTTTACTTTCCCGCACTCGCAAACATCTTTTTGCGCTGCTTTATGATATTTTGTAGCCAGATTATTTGTATTCACAGGCGTGAGAACCGTTTGTGCGCGCAACATCCGGTTCGGGATTTATAACTGTAAGAAAATTTTCAGAAAGTTCAAATGCATTCAGGTGTGCAAAAAGTCTCATTATGGACCGATCTTCTTTAAATTTCGCGCATAAAAGCACATATGCTTGAAGATTGTTTTACACCGAACCAAATTTACACTTTTTTCCAAATTTTAAATTGAATTTTAATATTTCTGGCTACAAAATGTTATAAAACAAAGCAAGAAAGTGCTTGGGGATGCGAAAAAGTGCCATTTTTCGTGCATGCACACCAATTTGATACCATGTACCGGACCACTTTCCTTAAGACAATTCAAGACAAATAATTACGTAATTATGGCGCAGCCTTGTAAAACTACCTTGAACCAGATTGCCCAAAGAATCGATTTGGGAAGAGATGCCAGTACCGCTCCATCTTATGCCAGAACAACGGCACGTGTATGGGGAACCGCTGCATCTGTCGCCCCGGCTGGACAGGAGATTTCTGCAATATCACATGCCCACATGGATCCTATGGACAGGATTGCGGTGACACATGCTGGTGCCATAATGGCGCACCGTGCCATCCGGTCAGCGGCGAATGCCTTTGTACGGCCGGTTTCTGTGGAGCGCACTGTGAACGTCCTTGCAGCCGTTCTACAAAGCAGACCGTTTATGGACGCTGTCAGAATGGAGGATATTGTCGTGAGGGTGAACAAAAATGCACCTGCAGTCCTGGCTTAACGGTATAATATTAACTTAATGTCCACTTAATTTTAACTGACAATCAAATTAATGCAATAATATGCTGTACAGTACTCGCGTTTCACTGGTCTAAAAGTAATACTGCAATAAAAAGTGGGCTTTAGGGAGACGTATGCGCCAACCGGTGCGACAGCGGTTTCTACGGGGAAAACTGCCAGCAAGTGTGTCCGGATTGTGGTGAAAATGCACGCTGCGATGCGGTTACCGGAAAGTGCAAATGTCTTCCAGGCCAGTTTGGGCAACATTGTGAAAAGCAGTGTCCACCGGGACGGTATGGGCACATGTGCGGTCGGCAGTGCGCCTGCATGAATGGGGCCCACTGCAGTCCGGCTGATGGAACGTGTGAATGCCGAGATGGTTACTTCGGGCAGTACTGCGAAATAAGGAGTAAGTGCGCTTTGTCGACCAGAAATTTTAGAGACTGGAGGTCAAGAAAAAATTTTTGTTGGCCATTTACGTCATATACAATTAACTATTAAAAACAAGATAACAGTATGATGATTTCCAAAAAAATTCAATTACATTAAAAATGAACAGAAAATATAATAATATAAGCAAAAGGAAATAAGTAAACAAAATGCAATAAAAATCCATACAGTAAATTAATACGAAGATTACTAAAGCTTCTGCTAATATTTTTGCTACTTCAGTACACCATATTTTCTCTACTATCTGCTACCAATGTAGTCCTTTGCAGGATGCCGGGATAGCACGTTTGGTCCGAATTGTGAAAATAGTTGCAGCTGCAGCAGTTTAACGGAGTAAGTGAAATGAAAGAGAACTTCGGCATTCGTGCACTTTCTATAACTCATCGCGCTACACTTCGGGATTTATACGCAGTGCATCACATGACTAGGCTACGTAATAATTTCATGTACTGTAGATGTGATTCATACTACGGCGACTGCACGTGTCGACAAGACGCTTTGAAAATTGGTGGACAAGCCTGTCTTGCCTGCTGCGTTCTGCAAGGTGGCCTACGCGGCTGTTACGAAATGTGCAACACCAGTGACCAATGGATCTGCGCCCCAGAACTTGGCGGATGTCACCCTGTATTTTTGAGTAATGGCACAGTCTCTGGTAAGTATCTTAAGGCGCATTCACCAGTTTTTATTTTTCGTTACGTTTACCCACCCTGGATTATGTACATTATAACTGCCTGTACATGGCAAGTTTCACCACGAATAAGGTCCCGGGCTAAAAAATTGTTTACAGATACGAGTACATCTCGAACTTTTTCCCCAACTGCGGAAACGGCAGTTTTGACAAACGAACTGCCACCGAACTGGGGAACGGAACCATTGAAATCCAGTTATGCCAATCAGGTAACAGTAGTCAATTATTCAATCGCCATGTTTGACTGACGTCGGCGCAACGCAACAATATTTTATTTTGCTGTAGGCTTGCGAACCCGTTCGCACTTACATCGGTTACATCCACAACACCGTGTGTTTCCTTGCTGGCCTTTGTGTAGGCGTGCTGTTCTGGGTGATTGTTTTCTTGCTTTGCGGGAAAGGAAAGAATGAGAAGCGCTGCAGTGCAAGACTAAGGACTCGGACTGAAGCTTCGGATTTCGGTGTCCAGTACGATTTCTTCACCGCCAGACCAAATGGTGACGTCGTGAAAGATTCTGCATCTCGGCACTTGTAAGGCGAATGTTAATGTTGATAAGGCGGACATTTTACAGGACCCCTGCCGTTAGTTCCAGTTCCATGCTCTTCGACGGACAACGTTGAGATCCCCTGTGTGCACAACGAAATTGTGGAAGCTTCACCAGTCAGTCAAAGAGTTGCACAACAGAGCGGTGCTCTCGCTCTGTGCGGACGTTTCAATCACGGTACGTAGCGATGTTTACGTTTTCAGTATATAACGGTATTTTTGGCTGACAAAGTCAAACGTTACAGTATACAGACTCAGCATTGCAAGTACTAGTATGCTAGTTTATTTGGCTAATCATTAAAGTGCAAGCTGTGCAACTGATGTAACCATATCTTATCGCCTACTTAAGTTTTAACCGAATCCTTGCAGAACATGTGAATTTCGGTGTATCTGTACATGACTTTGAATTGTTGTTCAGGCTTCGACAACGAGTGTTACTGGATTGCCGATCTGGTCCCACCTGGAAAGAGTAATCCGGACGAAGAGTATCCCGCACCCTCTGGCAGCTGAGGTCAACTCGACCCAGTTTTCGAACGGTTATTCGTTTTCGCACGGTTGTGATTTTATTATATCATAATTGGCGCGCAAGCAGCTGCTTCTTCTCGTTAACTTCAACGCACAGGGTTCTGTTTTTTTTATTTGTTTACTAAATTTATACAGAATAGTGCGAAATGCGTCTGAATGCACCTTGTGCGCGTTAAGCTTCTGCTACGTTTATTATTTATCGACGCCGAACTGTGCCTTTTGGAGGTTTTTATCAATATGTCTACATATCATAAAAATTGGTGCTACGCATAAGCTGCTTAAAAGTAGAATGATTCAGTTAGTAAAAATATTGTTATGCTTCCCTCCTTTTCTTGTCGATCGCAGTTGTGCTACTGAATTGCGCCTGAACATAAACCGCACCAAAACAATTCAAAACGAATTTTAAAAAGAAAGCAAAAGCACATGAAATTATGAACCACAATTTGCAGTATGTTTCGTGCCACTAATTTAATGGTCGGCAAACTGATATTCCGATTATCAGGTACTGCAGATTCGTGTCCCTCATCTATCGTGTGATAAATATTGATCCCGATTCCCGGGAAAAATAGACAGGCTAGTTTCCTTGCTGGAATATCTGGTGGCAACGGCGGTTTTGTTAAACAACACAGATTAAGAACTATAATGATAAAACCTTCGTCTGTACAATATGCACCGCCTAAACTAATAAGTATTTGCTGAAAATTTTTCCAGCATGGTCATGGAAAGAGTGCATTGAGATTTACCAACAGATTTGATACGGGAATGCTATAGTTTCATCTAATCGATCGCATGCATCAGCAGGCGTGCACTCGATGGTTACTGGTTTTACTAATTTGGGTTTCTTATACCAGATGTGCATAATCGTTAATAAAAACAGTGCAAGAACAAAGGTGATTAACATGACTCCGGAGGTAACGATCACCGGTAGACTGTAATCGAGTTGCTCATAGGGACCCTGTAAAAACAAAACTTTATCCAAAAGACGGTGAGACAGAAAACCGTGTGCTTATTGTAGCATGGGTTTTGGTATCACATCGGGATAAGAGTGCCTCTTGTACATGTACACAGTGCACTATGGGAACGCACCGGAATACTCCTGGCTAAGAAATCTAAGAAACATACCTGCTTAGCGATATTAACGGCAGGTCGAGAATTTCCAGTTGGTGGTGATAACGATACTTCCAAAGATTTCGCAGATGTATGGGTAGTTAATAGTTATATTAGCTGGAAAGTGTACTTCTTTTACGGCTGAATACACCTGTAAATTAAATAACGACGCAGTGGAAAGTTAATCACCAAAAAACTATGGAGTGGACATAAGGTTTCCTGAGGAAGTGTACATGCCGCGCTATGGAGAATGTCGTCATACCTGCAGGAATTTGCTTCGGTGGGGTGCATGAGAAATGAATCATCGTACTCGTCTTCATTACTATCCAAGGAATTCCCTGTTTCCACTGCTTTTGTGTGATGTTTCTCGACACGGTCATCGGGCGGTACTGGCAGACCATGATGCATTTCCGCTGCATTACATAAAAAAATGGTGATAAATTACACTATGCTTGGCTAAATATTAATTTTACTGTCAAATTCCCACAAAATGACTACAATATACAAAAGTCTTTTACCACTATTTTGCAAAAGAGCCGTGTCGCAACTCGCAAGACGATTTCCATCAACACTAAAACCATACGTTAAGTGAGTGCATCATCATGTACATGTATATCCATGGTATTACTGTATTACTTCTGATGACATAAAATCCATCCTGATACGATTAACCAGATATGTAACGGAAAAAGCCCTGATCGTCATCAGGTGAAGCATCGGAGATGAGCAGATGGGCGCCGTTAAACAAACGGAAGCGTGGTTCCAAACCAAACCTGATGGATCCCGGCAAATAGCTCTTGTTGATGTCTAAGCGTTCCCGGCTGACCTGACTATGTAAATCATCGGTCGCACAATAAATTTTTACACCTTCTCCAGATTTTACTGTGACGCTAATGGGAGCATGTTCCGGCGACGGCAACTGCATTGATTGTACCGAATCTACCGATACACAGAGGAGCCACAACAAAACACGGTAAATCCAGGTACGACAGTTAATTTCGAGCATTCCGGTGCTGCAGTCGCGATGATTGGATCAATTAAATTGCCAAAAAAAACTAAGACGATTGTTTATCCACTACTGTAACAAAAATGCAAGCGAGTAGGAATGTATTCTTAAGGTTCACGAGAAAACTCAGTACAGGTAAACTCTGTACAGTGTACACTTACTAATTTCATGCTAGTTTCGATTTTGTAGGTGTTCTGGGGCAGGAGTTCACGTACCACAAATTATTAACCGTTGTACGTGCTCGGTTCAGATGAATGCAGTCTTTCAGCAGTGTATCGCAGAGTTTTTATTATTGCGAATGAAAACACTACAGCGCTGGCCATAATACAAACAATACAATATATAAACAATGCACGTCCGTATGTATGTGCATCTTAGCTCTCCAAGAAAACCTTAGCTTAAGCACAACAATTCCAAAACACGAAAAGAGTCATAAGGAATAGAGCACGAGCAGCAATTAAAAAGAATACTAAGTCACCCACATCAAAAGACAATATACCGATGAACTAGTTTTTACTAGGGCAGTCAAACTTTAACTATTAAGAAAAACAATCTTGTGGAACAAGGCATCCAAGGTTAGTGTAAATTCCAAACTAACGAGAAACGACAACGATACACGGAATCATTGAACGTTGCTAACAGCTACGCAGTCAGCAACAGCGTCAACGATCTCCTGCAGGGACGCTTCATCCATTTCGTCCTCCGGATAGATGATACTCCTAATCCTTCGGTTGCTCCAAGGGACAAACCGCTCCTTCGGCGGTGGAGCGTCCGCGTGGACCAATCGCGGAGTCCGTGGCACCTTTTCCGTAATCTCCTTGTCGATAAAGCCTTTGACATGATCCCGCATTCCATTATACGTGTCGGATTCCGAGTCCTGGTCTGTGGTCTCGGGAGTGTAGTAGCGTGTGAACAGCTCTTCGCCGGCTTTCAGATTGCGCTTGGCAAAATACCCGATCTGCTGCTGCCCACGCACCGTCACCACGAGCGGCTCGACATTCTGATTCTTCACCGAATGATTGACAAAGCGCATCTTATTCCCGAAATGGTTGGCATCCACCACCAGGTGCTGATTGAGGGAGAATCCGTAGGTCCGATAGCCGGACTGTTCCCGCACGCCAGCTTCAGCGATACTGATTAGTTCGCCGGTGTACTCCCCAATAAATTCGCCTTCCTTGACATTCTCCATGATGAACGTGCCCATGCCGGACACCGTGGATGGACCGCACTTGGTCACCTTCTTCTGGCCAAAGTCTGCAAAGACATCGCAGATGTCGCAGACGTACTTCAGTTCCAGGCACTTGCATTTGGCTTGTCGTCTGCCCGGTGCACAGCCCCGCCAACAGGGATGTGAGCGGCGGTACAAGCAGTCCATGGCGCATCCACACGCATCGTAACACAGTTTGCTGATAGCACCGTCATTACTGCGGCACAGGCATTTGCTCCGGGGATCCGAACAGGATTTGCCGGGATGGTAGCAGGGTTGGTACTGGATCTGTTCTTGCGCGAGATCCTTGAACAATAAATCCATCGGTAGTTTCTGATTGGATCGGATCACTGCAAGCGGGAAAACCAGAATCAGAATAGACTCGATATAGAATGCACAAATAAAAATGTGAACCTCTAAAAACTCGTGAACAATCGGCAAGATTTCGGCTGTCTTCAACGGTGCCGAGAACACTAGCAGTACTGCCGCACTGAACTTTAAATTGCAACACTGCACCAGCTCTTCAAATATAAGCAAGTGTAATAATTATTATGACTGCATAAGAACGTATTGGATATAAACTACGAGTCGGTGCATACGCAATATTATAGTACGTACATATCTGTACAAGACGAAGTGTGAACAAGTAAGTAAAACTGTACTTACAAGCAATCATTTAGATAAGATAATAGTATCTCAGGTAGACAGTAATTCGTAACACGTAATAAATTTACACTTCGGCATTCCCAACAACCAGTCACTTGTACAGTTATACTTTACACCAGTAGACCCCGCGCAAATTGCGCGGAATATACTGCATTCGGCCACAGCAAAATTCGTAATTTTACGACTCTCAAGACTTAAGCGAACACTAAGTACTGTAGAGTATAATTATATTGTATAATTCTAATGTCGCCTAATGATTCTGATTGCATTGCATGATGTACTGCAAAGGTGTCATTTTCCGCTTACTCCATATCCCATCCACTCCTTATTAAATTTTTACTAGGAAAGTGTACTCGCTTTTTGCGGGCACTGCATGACCGAAGCGTTGCAGGAATATGTGTCTAAATTGGAATAGTTTGGGCAGAGCCTCTAATGGTGAAGCAATTTAAGCTATTTTCAACACAACAGCACTACCAGATTGCCAATGTACAGTAATCGAGAAAGCCATCTATGTAACATAAAATCCGTCCACTGCTCTAATAACTTTGTTTTCGCAAGCGAACGGTTTTGTTTAAAGGTAACTTCTGCTATACCAAATAGAAATCATGTTGTTTTATTTAGAAATATTGTTGTCCCTGCTAGACAAACTCTTCTACTCAAGATGTTGCAGTCTTTAACACTGGACGCATTTGTAATACTTTGTATAATATTTTAACAACATCAGAGCTTTTTTACGGTTACTCGGCAAGAACCATCCCGTCTTGATTAATAATGCGATGTTATCAATTTTGTTAGGCAGTAACACCGCTGTAGCCTCGTGGAAGGGTACAAAAGGTCACCCATTATCCTTTACTACAGGGCAGTTATCAGTAATTTTACCAATACTGGCCAACGAGTTCCCATTCTGGCGATCGTATAAAAGATAAGACAGCAAAAACATCTGCTGGACGTTTTTGCCGGTTGGGTTCCTCAAAACTGATGCAGTTCAAATTATATACACTACGACACAATAAGAATATATGACGGCAAAGCAGCTGGGGGAGAGGGCGGGTCCAGTGGCTTTGCCGGTAGGACTTTTTGTTTTGCCAAATGGTCAACCTCTGTCTGTTGCCTTGACAGGGCAACGTTGACAGGATATTAAACTTATTAATGTTATTAAAATCCTGGAAGAGCAAAATTTACGTACGACGGATTTTTTCTGATCCGACTGATGGTTCTGTCAGTTACAAGCGCATTGTTAGCATTTGGAAAACAGATTCAAAATGTTTCCATCACCACAGTTTTCATAGGTCATGAGTGTATGGGGCTACGGTGCCCCATCCTTTTTTAGATCAGATTAGCAGACCTCGCGCAAATTGCGCGGAGTAATTAATTTGATAGAAACATTATAACCCTTAACCCAGTGCAAAATTTAAAAATCATTTTTGCAGTCTGAAGGTAAGTATAAGTTTTACGGAAGAAGCGTAAAATTCTATGACATACCGAAGCCCACATTTGAAGATAACATCTACTGGAAAATTTGCCCGTCTCATTAACTGACTGCAGAGGTGACCTTAAATCTGAAATGAACTTTTTAAATTCTCTCATTAGTTTCCGATCAGTTTCTTAAAATCCATTATCCAGATCCGTAACAAATGATTAACCTAAATTTCGTGCAGCCGCTGATAAGGACTCTGTAATTTATTAGGAGTTGTCCTCACTTCCTCTTCCTAGTCATGCTGCGCTTTTTCAAGCTGTAAACTATTGGATAACAATTTATTTACTGTACTTTAAATCCCAGTTTGACACTTTGACCACTAATATGACTGGTGCCCTTCACATCCCAGTTTAACGTACAGTACTCATACTCTAACAGAGTAACTGCTCTGCTTCCTATTGGTATTCCTTTTTTACTATTGCTTTGACCATAGCCAAACAATTTAATTGAATAAGGACAAAAATATTTCGCTGTGTTTCCTTCTCCACTTTTAGCTCTTTTCAAAGTCGGCAACTGTTGTGCGAGCACTGCTAGGTGCTTGCTGCTCCGCGAGCTTCGCTCGCACAGCAGCTCGGCGTCGCCGACGGCGCAAAATGAACGTGTTACGGCAAATTGCTTCTTAATAATTGTTATGAATAATTTATTGAATAAACAGTAAACAATCACAAAATAATGTGCTGCTGTGCTCCAGAATGCTGCTCGTAAGGTTGCGAAATTGCAAATACTGGTATCTACAGCGTTCGGTTTCAATAGAACAGGAAGCGCAGTTGTTTGAAAAATAACGGCCCCCTCCGAAACATACTGCATGAAAAATAGTACCACCCCCCGAAATAAGCCCTATTTCTCCAGAACGTTTGAACTTTTGCACCTCACGGGTGCAAACTCGATAATTACGGTATTTAACCAGGCGGGAAAGATTGCTTACAATGATAAAAGTCTTACCAGGTCTCACTTCATTGCCCACCGGTTTGTATCCCTTGCAGTTCTCAACCACCTCTTTTATAATTCTGCTGACTAAGCGACACGGCAACTCTACCATTTCGGCCAAATAGCAGCACGTTGGCTGCTCATCCAGACCCTGCATCAGTAAGGACTTCAACAAGGCTCGAGTAAAAGGTGGCTCGGGGAGGTCGCGCGGTGCAGTTGCTGTAGACCGACACAGATAACAATCCTTCCCACACGGTGTCCCTGATTTAGCCGCCGGCAGAATAGGTCCAACTTCGAAGGGCCATACGCGTGGAGGGGCAGGGCATGCTGCACAAGCAAAGCGCCGACAACGTGGACACCAGTGGCATGCCACGGGCGACAAGAAGGCCAACATATCATCTACTGGACCAGGTTGGGTGTTCTCAGTGGTCTGGCTTCCCGATGCCGCAGCAGCCGAAGTCGGTGTCCCAGTTTTAGCCGCCGGTCGGGATATCTGGCGGTGAGGCAGGCAAATATTGCCGGAAACAGACGTGAACGCTTCGACTTTCGGCAGAGGACGAATCCATGGCAGCTGAGGACGTTCATTATCTGGAAAAATAAAGTATGGCGGGAATTAATAGACCATAACAGCGCGAAGCACGCTGCGTTGGAAGTTACGTACTCCCGCATAAGTTGTCATAAGTCCTACCTGTTTCGGTGCGTATTTTGCTGCGTAAGCCTGCGACTCGCAAGACCAACGGTATTAATTGCCCTAATTTACGAGTACAAATTCTACTATCTGTACTGCACTGTAAAGTTTATCAACAAACGAAATTTAAAAGGTGATGACTCCGCATACCACCTTTTAAAACCTTTAATTTGGCTTCTAATACCACCTTTGATACCACGGTTTGCACACCACATTTGACTCCGCATACCACCGTTTGTTTAATATTACGAGTGTATATATGCCACAGCAAACGGTCCGCAGTCATCCCTTTTTTTTTATTTTGCACGCTCTCGTATGATCAGCTCCTACCCGCAGCCTGTCTTCCGGCTCATCACGGCCGTACAGCTTCCAAACTTACAGTTCGGCTTCGTTAGTTAGCTTGTAGCCCAAGCTGTCATAGAGCAAAATAAAAAAATTTATGGTGGTACGCGGAGTTAAAAGTGGCGTGCAAAAGGTGGTATCAGGAGCCGAAGGTGGTAAAAGGTACTCTAGTATTAGGAGCCAACGATGGTATGCGGAGTCTTCACCGGTTTAAATAACAATGCTACCTTTTCTATCGTGCGTATTGTTTTCTTCTTACGACTAGCGCAAAAGAGCATATAAATTTAATGAAAATAAAATTCATCACGAGCCGCTAAACAAAACTCAATACTTTTCAAGTTTCATATTCTCAGATGAATCTCCAGTATTTTTTTCGAAAACTTGGCGGCCGTGCGCGACGTTACTATCTCGGTGAGATTTGCTTCAGGTGTAAATGCGTAGCTTTTGTTAATTGATCCGACAAACTAACATTTTTAACATATTGTATGACAAACTCAAAAAAAGCCGCTCGCAGCACCAAAGTTTGCCCGTAAATTAATTACTAGTTCAGTTAATTATACAGATACAACTGACCTCCGCCTCTGTAATTGTAGTCCCTGCAACATACGTACCTGAGATATACGTGAATTTGTCATGTCCAAATCCATCCGGAATAATACCGTTTTCGGGCGGCTGCCGGGGATGCATCCACGGATTATGGTAACCCGGCAGCTCCATTACTTCCACCTGGACGATCTCGGTTGCGCTGTAGGGCAACGGGCAACGCAGGTGCTGAGCAAATCCATTGACTTCCCCATCGCGATTTTCATGGGCAATCCCCTCGACATCCATGATGGACACCGGTGGAGGGGTTTCCCCGGGTGCACGAATGGCCGCGGTCCATCGTTTATTTGTATTTCGAATGGTTCGACGGCCGATATTTGGCGCTGTTCCCGTGGTGGGCGCCATTTGGGTATAACAGTGTAAAACAACTCGAAATGTTATCAAAGCTATTAAATTTTCAGTTCTTTATTAACGTGTTTGCCCAAGCTATCGGAGGCTAATGCGGATTCTTGAGTGCTGCATTAGCTGACGGCTTTTTAACGGGCGGATACTGAGAATAGATAATTTTGTTTACCCGCATAATTGCAAACAGCATGGGTGCGCCGGCTACCTGCAGCTCACTCGAAGATGAAAAAAACCTGCCATAATAATTCTTTCATTTATATGAAAAAAATTGTTTATGATGAGTTTCCTATGTTTTTTCATGTTTGCTGGTTTCGTAGTACCGCAGTGTCCATACATGTCGTTCACACACTGTCATGTCATCTTGGATAATTTTGCCAGTGCAGTTTACCATCGTTTTTGCGATGAACCACATCTCCAGGATTTTTTAAAATTTTAAAATCCATTCAAGATTCATTATAAAATTTTAAAAAATGCTGGATTCTCTTATTCGGTCAACAAACGATCGTCATACCGTTGTGCGTTTTCATGCATAATTTGAACATGACCAGCTCAAAATAAGACATTTAAATCAGCTGATTGCATTTAAAATTTTTGGAATTTCCTCAGAGCCATGACTTCCATACCGGATGTTGCGCTATCAAACGACTTTTTGCCAATGTATACAGGTTATTTAGCTTCAGAATGTCAACAAACAAAGCAACAAAAGAGTTTGAGAGTTCTCGAAGCGAAAGTTTCGTGGATGTACACGAATTTCGCATCATGTACCGGGTGGTAATGCTATGAGTGTATTGTGCAGTGTGCACAGTCCCTTCTCGTGCTAACTGGGACAAATTCTTTATTTGATTGTATATACTCACCTGGTGAGTGGCGCTCATTGATGTGCATATTGAAAAATAAATTACCCACTTTACCGGGTCATTTGCCTTTATAAACTGAATATACCGTAATGTTTAAGAATTAATGCCGTGATATTATATTGTTTTGCACTCCCATTTGTTTTACTAAAACCTACTGCTTTTAATCGGCTGCCGATTTACAGTACAAGTCAGGTTGGTTTGCTTCGCGAATTAAGTAACAATATCAGCGAACCAACAAACCTGTAACTCTAGTATGGGTTTCAGGATCAGTTCCCGTGACGAACTACGTGGCCCGATATCAGCGTCTTAACTTAGCACAAACCCTTAAAAGGTCATCCATCATAAAGGTCGTAATGCTAACCCGTCAAGCTCGGTGCATCTCGAAAACGTTGATAACGAAAACCAAGTCCAGTGCTCGATTAAGCCGAAATGCGTCCTGAAAGCATTGACCACTGATCTTCCTAGATTATCGGTTTAATTATCCTCTAGATGACGGCAGTCACGGCAATAATGTTAGCACAAATTAATTACATTATCGCCCTTCGACAGTAATTTTGCAGTGATCCGCGATACTCGGTGGTTCATCTGAAGTGTAACCACGAGTTTTTAGTCGTACTGCTTTTACTGCAAATCTTTTACTGCGATTTTTTTATACCGTGCGTATGTATCTTGTATCGTTGTATTTATGGTGTTTGTGCATGAATGCGCAGTTTTATAGTTTTGACCGTTACGCATATCAATTTACGGTTATTTATTTTATTTATTTACCTTATTTAAAGTATGTCTGAGTGTGGTTAATAAATTAATGCCGCTCTCCTTTATGGCTTATCATCCGCACTTTTATAACCCTATCAGACACTGCTAGAGCATGGTCGCAAATGATTGGAGCATAACGTCACTCAACCGAAAGCGTTAACGAAAACTTATTAAAAATATTGAGGGTTGAAATTTCACTGCTCGACAATGCCGTTGTATCCTAAACGACTCCACACGTGTGGCAGCGCTTACCTCGGTTTTCCACCGCGTACTTTTGCCTATTTCCAACGGCATTCTCTACTACGCAGCATTTTATAACTTATTACTTACATAATATATTTAGAACTTACTTTCTTGTCTCTTCTGTTTTTAATATATTTTGTCGTTTCTCAAAATGGATTGCACATAATCCAAAAATTTATAAGCTTGCTCATTTAAATTGTCAAAAAATGGTAAGCAAAGGTGGCGAAGAGACTGTACATAATGCAATGAATCACCATGTAAATGCTTGGAGGGTATTTCGCGCTATTAGGAAATTACAAATAGTACGTATCTCTATATTATGCTCTGATTTTCTCCTGTTAGCTTGATGCTTTTCCATTGGACTTTGTAATGTTGTTACACATTTCAGTTTATCAGGACATTCTACACGTTGATAGTATGTGCTATCAACGTTAGTATACCGGTAATCACCGGAAAAGCGTTGGATGTGCGGTGAATAAACGATTGCACTGGAACACAACATATCCGTTTCTTATCGATACCTTTTACATACGTTTTGCACTGTGAACATAAACCAGCGCAATGGGCAGACACCGAAACTGAGCATCAAACCTTGATGGTATGCAGTGGAAAATGCTGTCGAAGAAGGTTGTCTTTCTTACTACCGGCTTCGCTTTAGTAGTGCTGGTTTGGTTCACATCCACTCGGTACACCACGTTCTCCGCAAGTGTCTTATTGGACCTGCCATTCCAGCCTCACCTTACCAACCGCACAGTCGATATCATTCAGGAAAACCCTTTACCGGACATTACCAATGACTTGGTGAAACCAGAAACCGCTGACTATCTACCGGTGCACATTGTGCGCTTCTACGAGACTCCACCCAGTGGAGACAGCCATAGTTTCTGCTGGACCGAATGTATTAGCCTTTTGTCGGTGCTGCTGTACGTTCGCCCATCGGCCATCTACATTCACACTAATCATCCGGATTACTGGCCTTTGGGGCGGTGCTACATGATCACCGATTATTCAAAGTTCCAACTGATCTATCGACGACGACGTTTAGTGGCTCACGGCAGATCAATTAAGCCCGTTGCCCATGAAGCCGATATGATGAAATATAGCGTTGTCTATAAATACGGCGGAATTGTTATGGACATCGATGTGTTCCACTTACCGAAGATGACACGTAAGCAGTTGTACTTGACTGTGTCTAAATGTAAAATTAGTGGATTTATCTCACGTTTTCTAACCCAGATGTGTATTCTGCTTCATAATGAGTTATAAGGTCGCTGAACTGGGTTAAACATACATACGGTACATGCGCTATCAGTAAATATTATTCTAAGTTAATGGGCTGGTTTGTATTAACAGTATTTAAGTACGATAATAGAAAGACGCAGCTATGTTGTGTACGTTTTCATTTAGCTTTGATAAAAGAATGGAGGGACGGAAAATACGAATGTCTGCTTACCCGCGAAGACCGTTTCATGAATAGCGGGTTTATTGCGTGTCATAAAGGTCATCCATATATTCGTGATATTCTTATCCGCTATCGCGATGATTACCGCGACGGCTGGCTGTACAACAGTGGCATCGTACCATGGGAAATTTACAACAAAATTCCCGAATACAATACGACACTGTACGTTGACCGTCAAATGGGCAACCACAGCAGCAGCTACCGAGGACCCATTCGGTACAAGGAAATACCAGCTTGGCATTCTTACTTCCACGGCTGCAAGGAGAACGAAGAAAACACCATCCAGCAGGCGGTCAACTCGACCTTTTGGGAAATGCTGCACTTTATAGCCGCGGAAGGATACAAGGCGTTCCCTTATCCGACTACGCCCAAAACGACAACTGCCATGACAAGAACCTCAAGGATCACTGCGCGACCCACCGGAACTCCGACTGTGTTGCCGAAACTCACTGACAGAAATACCACAAGTTTGTGGTCCACAACGTCGTTGCACCCGATGATCCCATTCCCCACAACGCAAGGAAGGCCCAGCGCACACCCTAGTATACAAATAACTCATACCGTCATAAATACGGCAATGTTTACACGCTCTTCATCTTTCGAACCGAGCATGCCATCTGGAGTTACTGAGCAGTGGACTCCGATTCGAAAAATCTCGGGAAATACTACGAGAAAAGCAGACACTAGAAATTAACTTATCGTTAATTGATACATGCATGCCATAACTGCTTCCTACGATGTACACGATGTGTGCATGGATTCATGAACTGCAGCACTTGTACATAAAACTTGTAGAACTAATAACGAGTTTATATGAAACTGAACGACTGTTTATATGAAATTTAACGCAACCATAGAAAATGGTTTTTCACAGCCCCGAATCCGATCCAGCGTCGTATCATTTCCGCCATCGAGGCCATGGAGAAGTCTAATCGGGGAATTGTAAGTTGCCCGGTATCCCGCGTCCACAGCGCATTCATCAGACTTCTGGTACTGTTCTCTTCCAGATTACAGAAAGTGTTTTGTACAGTGTTCAGAAAGTGTTCACTTCACTTTTGCTCACGTCGAGATCGATCAATAAATTTAGCACTTTTACTCACGTATGTAAACCATTGGAACCCGACCAGGCGTTTGCTTTACTACACAGCTACCCGATTGCCGTATGCTACTGTGACCTTTCTAATCTGCACCTTATGCTTTACTTAAATCATGTTTGTCTATAATCACGACATTACTTCCGAACTGGATTTTACCGATTATCTCAAGGACGTTAATGACACCATCACTGCCATCAAAGACAACATCACTGCCATCAAAGACAACATCACTGCCCTCTGCACACAACTGACGAAAGATATTTGCGAATATCTTCAAAAATATTTTGAAAACGTGAACAGTCCGAAGCTTCCTCGAATATTCCTCAGAACGAAGACCTGTATGCCGCGGATTGCAATACGAGCAGTTTCGACCGTAATTCTGCTTTTAAATACGTCAAGTCTATCGGAATCCAATGCCACATTAACGCAACTGCCTCTGCCGGCACCACCATGAAATCTGGATATTCCGCTGTTTTCCCAACACTCTGCACCATCAAAAGCGGCTATAAACAGGACTGCTCTACGTGGAAATTCACCGACTTCTTCCCAAACGGTAAGTGGAAAAGAACCAAGTTCAAATCGATGAAGCATGGTAACCACGACCACGAATTTACGCCTCGCTGCCATGCTGACGAAAATTACGGATGTGTCTTCGTGAATTAACGAACTAATTGACAACTTAACATATCGCTGATTCCTAACCTCGTACTGGCTTTTTCCTGCTTGTGGCTTCTGATTACTGATTGCACAACCTGTTTAATTTACGGAACTATGTAAAATAATTCAAAATCTAATGTTAACTTCGCTCTGACAGTAATCCTTTTTCTGCCTGATTTAATCAATTGCTAAATTAACTTGTAAGCTCTGCCTAATTATCGTCTTTGTGTTTACATTCCGTCGCGCATTCTTGCACGAAATGCCATCGAACTGTCCCCATTCTGTCGAACTGTTTTGGATCAACTACGGATTCGCATACTTTGGAAACCCTACCTGTATCACAACACCATAACAACACACCGCTTCCGACTAACTTCATGTCGACTCTCATGTGAAAATGTTTAATGGGAACCGTGCTGCTATTATCAACCTTGTTATATTCTACTTGAATTTTACGTGATCTTGATGATAACAACTGACATGCAGTTTAGCCCGTCAAAGTTCAGTGTCTGATGATGAATTCTGCCGAACAACAGATATATTGCTTTGTCTTCTTTTGGTTATTTGTAAAACTGTAACCTAAACTGTGAGCCTATGATATTAACCTATCTGTGTGACTAAGTTGTCGCCTAGAACTCAATAAAGTCAAGTCAAGTGTGGTTGAGCAAAATCAGTTGGCTACAAATAGATGTGAACTCATACAGGGGAACCAGTCCCCAGTTGGCTGCAAAAGAATGTACACGGCCTGCGGCACCAATTTTGCTGTAGCACGGGGCGGACTGTGCTCCAGCCATTGGCAACAGCAATCAAAGGCACACAAAATTTTTTTACCGTCATTAAGTTCACGAAAATCTTTGATATTTGAACGAGAGTCGTTATTCTGCCGGAGCGGATGAAGGCGATGGTGTCGGTTTTTTTGGACACTGCTTGGTCCAGACACCATGCCACAGCAGACGGTTCCATGGACTCTCCCGACGGCGACCCGCAAACGCTTGTGTTGAGAGAGGCATGCTGACTGCCACTTGGCTGGGATAAAACCAGCCACCGTCCGATCCTGCACACACTCTGCAAAGAAAAATTATCGGATTGATTATCCCGCAATCCAGTTATAAAATTCCTTTTTGTGTTATGGGTTAAAAAGCTTACCTTTTGACCCTTGCTTGAGCAAATAAATCCAGACCGAGCAAAATTTCCGTCAGATTCCTGAGATCCAGATCCCCAAAGCGAGTATCTACAAGTACACAAGTGCAGCGAGCTAATAACATGGAATACGCAGTAGTGTACGTACGTATACATATAGCCAACACAAAAACCATTAATGCAAAATGACTTGTCAAAAAGTAGCAGGAGCAGCTAACCGTAAAACGCAGAAACGAAAATGGAAGGAATTTAGATTTATGGTACACTGCTATTTTCTTGTAGTATTAAATTAGTTTATTGGAAATTCTGTTCTACGGTTCTACGGAGGAAGGTTGGGATATTTCTTTAAGGAACGAAGTCGGAAGTACTGTAGTTCAGCTGTTATCAGTACAAAGTACAGTATTATGAGTGGCAAATGTTTCGCTGTGACTGTTGTTTTTGGATTTTTTCGAAGAAATAATAATGTTTCAGAGTTACGATTGTATTTTATCTTTAGTCCTAATCCTAGCCAAAACACGTAAAATGTGGTGTGTCAGTTGTCAATTGATCGTTGATCAACAAATCATATTCAACTATCTGTTGCGAGCATTGCATGATCAAAGCATTGAGCGGAGTTTTGGATAACTGTTTTATTTTAAGCAGAATAGCATTAAATTAGTTTAGAAATTGATATTCAGAAGTTAAACAAGCGCTTTTGTACGACAAAAACGGTTAAAACGAATGAACCGTCAGCCGGCCTACAGAGCGATCGCCGTAGAATTTGCCCGGCAATTTTTTTGTTTAAACTTTAACGTGATTAGGCAGCTGGTTTTGTCGAAATGTGTTGGTACTGTATTGAGTGTATTCCCTCGTACCAGAAACGTTTTAGTACGTACTTTGGCAATAACGTTCCCTTCAACTTAATTTTGCCGGACATATACCCTTGCACTCAAGCAACGATGTGTCTCATTCCGGACATATTGGTCATGGACAACGGTTCGGCAAGAGTGTTCTAATAGCGTTGCCGCATACTGACGCAAAACAGGGTGCCCTGATTTGTTATGATTGGTTTACCGAAGTTTTATACGCCGTTCAATAAGTAAACCTCTTACCAATGCCACGTAAAATATCGCCACAGTAGATGGAATCGTACTCGTTCTACTGATTACAGTATGTACTCGAAAGTCGAAACTGACTTGTGAGCGGATAAAGCAGACAAGTGCCGCTTATGTTGACTTGATCTTTGCTAAAATGGCCACCATGATTCGTGAACACATAGACCTGTGAGAAGCACTGTGACGCTGTGTGAGTAGCTTATTTCGATTCTGTTAAATTGTGAAGATAGTGTTAAAAATGACAAAAGCGGATAGAAAAAAACAGGAGTACTTAAACAACATGTAAAATAAACACGCGCCTATTAAATGTTGCAAGCACACCACAATGTTAAATTTGAAGTATCCCATCAAGTTTTGTAATACACAGCCAGAGATAGCACGGCCAGCTTATTCAACGATGAGATATCCAGAGTCTTCCAATCAACGTTGTTCCATGATCTCGCTGATCCGTCAATCCCAAATCCGTTATACCGGGGAATAAAACTTACGCTGTGGATTATCACTGTATTCTGTACGTTAATTTTATTTTGTACTACTAAAATGAGACAACCTCTGACAACTCATCACATTCGAATTCGGCAAATAATTATCAATCATCTAATTCATGCAGTAGAATTATGTGGAATCTTTGCATTTGAAAGTATTTATTTGAGTATCACAACCCGAAGCATTCTGGAAACAGTTGTGGTCAATTAGGTGTTATGCTTTGTACAGCACAGATATAACAGGTGTAACTTTCATGACCTTTGATTCAGGTAACTGATTACTTACAGGTTAAGCCAGTGCCGGGCAACCGCCCAGTGTTCTGGATCCACCAGTGTATTCACCCAGCGTTGGTAAATGAGTCGAACCTTGTCGTAATCTGCCGTACTAACCGGTGGGCATTGTTCTTCCGCCGCCATCACCAATCGCCGCAGCATTTCCGCGGTAGAATCCGCTGAATGAAAAGCCAACCGGGGGATTACAATGGTTAGCTGGCGTCGGCCGGTTTCATTAAGCAGCAAGAATTTCCACTTTTCCTCTTCGTTAAGAGAACCTCTTTGTAGAATAAAGCACATACCAAAAGAAATATCCACGATGGTGTAATTAACCAGTATCAGCGAATTACAAACGGTGATCAGTTCGGACACTTTTTGACACTTCCACCCTTTGGGAAGCGTTAAAACTAGTGTATCGGTTTCGTCGGCGATTATTCCTGCAGAGCACACTCCGTCCTTTAGCATGATACGGTTCAGGAGCACCTTCTTTGCTGTCAGTAGATCCACCAATACCGAGAGAATTACAGTGTATAATTCAGTTGTTGTGGTCTCTCGTACAGCCAGAGTTCTGGTTTGCACGGTCAGTGCATGATCCAAACACCAGGCTAGATTGTACACAGCGTCGTGGGATCGTGTTGGTAATGCAATGCTTGCATTGACGACAACATTTTTGGAAGTCGCAGACCATGGTTCAGACAACAGCAAATTCCATTGGGCACATACACTGTAAAAAGAAAATGAAATTAATGCCTAGAGTAGGTGAAACTTATTAATTTTAACCCCGGATACTGACAGAACGTTCTAATTTAAAGAGCATCAATGAAAACAAAATCATTTGTTACCCAGCTGTTTTCACAGTCTTAGCAAAGCATACCTTCTACATTTGGCTTGTGTATGCACATCCAAGTCGACGAGAATTTCGGACAAGACCGAATAATGTAAGATGCAGATCTTCCCATCTATACAGCCAGCTTTTTCTTCTGTTCCTGTCAATAGCGTAAACCTAATGATGGTTTATGATGGTACACTGATAAATGAACGTTTCTCTTACTCTGTACGTTAAAAAACAACAGAAAATACTGCCAAATCCCAGTAATGATCTTTACTGTACAAGCTTGTCCGGAAATTTCCTACGTAAAGGTACAGCTAGCGCAGAGTTTGCGCTGATAACGATGGCCACTTCACTACGTTTATCAAAATCTCTAAATGCGCTCCGCAGTTAGATTGTCGCTTACTGCACCGATCATTTTCTAGCCACCTTCCGCCAGGCAGTTACTATTATTCTCATAAACTTATATGGTGCGTACCACGCCACCAGCCAGTCAAATGCAAGTTATGTGTTTAACCACTTTGCGTGGCGCGCCGGAGTGTCAAGTTTGGCGTAACACGCAAATTTGTGTAAATCTCTGTATCGATTCGTCAGAAATTACCGGACAAGCTTGAACACGCTCATAATGGATACTGAATTGCTCTAACATAACTTTAGCAGAACGCTGAGAAATAAGCTTAGAAAACAGACGTCTCTATTTGTAGACACGGATAACTACGTAAAGATAGTTCACTACAATTACACTCTGTACAGAAACACTTGTTTACCGGTGAACGCAGCTGTAACAC